CAAGCTTCATAGATAGTCTCACTACCCCTTTGCCGAAAGCCTTGAATTAGAGCTCTTGCCTCGGCCGTCTTCTTTTGAGAGTAGAATCTCCCTAAGAAAGTCGTGGTGACCTCATCCCAAGTCCTCAAAGAATTGGGTCTCACCTCCTTCTCAAGCCATTCGAGAGCTCTTCCTATTAAGGAAAAGGAAATAGTTTTAGTCTCACAAACTCTTGAGTGACCCCATTCACCTTGATCGTGTTGCAATATTTCTCAAACTCGTTCAAATGTGCAAGAGGGCTCTCGTGTTTTGCTCCACTAAATTGTCTCCTCTCAATCAAATTTATCATTGCGGGCCTAATCTCGAAGTCATTGGCCGGGGTGTTTGGGGGAGCAATCCCACTTGAAGCTCTATAAGCTCCCGGAGTTCCCATCTCCTTCAAAGGTCTTGGAGGTGGGTTGTCACCCATTGGATTTCTTTGTGGTTCCGGGTTGGATTCTCTTCTTGGGGAAGTGGAGGACCGCGAACGAGATCTCCTTCTTCTTCTAAGGGTTTGCTCAATCTCGGGATCGTAAGGCACCAACTCACGATGTTGAGTCCTACGCATACGCACTCAACAAACACAATTAGTATCAAGGCTACAAGCCAGCCAAAAAGGAAAACAACTCTTTTTGTGTTTTTTTTTTAAAGGTGAATTAGACTCAAGCAATCAAATAGCAATCAACAACACCGCTCCCCGGCAACGGCGCCATTTTGACAAGCGCTAAATCGGTCGCACAATTTAGGCTCATTCAAACACATTTATGATAAACACCTCACTCAAACAAGTACAATGGCAAGCAAAGGTTCGGTCCACGGAGAACGGGAATCAAATGCTAAATAATCTTAATGCTCAAGCTAAATCGAAATCAAGGTATAAGTGGTGATTAACTAACAAACTACAACTAAAGGTTGAATTCAAGGGATTAAAACACTAGGGGAATGGGATTCACTCAACCAATAGCAATTAGGCAAATAGGGAGGAATGAGGGTAATGGAATAGCAAAGACCACATGTAAGATCGACATCAAACGATATGAAAACAACTCAGATTACTAAGCTTAGATCCCTCATTAACTTAGCAACAAAAGATACATAATCATATTGCAATAGGTAATGAAACATTCAACTCACATTTCCATGTCGAACCAAACATTTCATGCCATCAAGTTCAAAAATCTAGGTTAATTACTCCTATCATGAAGAACTAACAAGCAATCCCATATAATCAAGTTTAGTCGCAATCCATCATCAAAATCACTCCCAAACTCACATAATCACTAATAGGTTTAGTTTCACCCAACCCCTAGCCAAGAGGACTACTCACAATTCATTGTGAGTACATGCAAATTCCAACTTTGGATTATAAGCGATTCTAAGATTTGGAAAAACAAGTGATTATATATGGACAAAGCTAACATGCAACAACAATATATCAAGATTGAGAGAAAATCAAGTGGCTTACAAAACAAAAAATAAAATCAGAATATAATGAAGGACAAATGAAAGAAGTTACTATTGAAGCTTCAAAAATGTTGGATAATTGCTGAAATTCTTGAGATAAATCTTGAAATTTGCTTCTACAATGATTAGATTTGAGAGTTTCTAAAACTACATCAACTAATTTAATGAAGTTGCTAACTAAGAGAGAGTATCTTTTTTGCTGAAAACTATCCTACTGTTTTTCTTCTCTCCCCCAGAAAAACGATCTCAAAAGGACCTTAAATAGTCCGTACAAAATTGGCTGAGATCGGGAAAAGGTCCGACCGAACTCTGGGTAGGTTCGGTCGGACTCAGGGTAGGTTCGGTCGAACTCTGTGTAGGTTCGGTCGAACCTCCCTGATCCTTGTTTGGTCGAACTTTTGAGGTTCGACCTCTCCTGCAAAATTGCTGAAAACTGGTTTGACACTGCCTTTACTGCACCCAGGAGGTTCGGTCAAACTTTTCAAAAGTTTGACCACACCTAGGTTCGACCGGACCTTTCAGAGGTTCGGCCACACTTCCTCTTGCACTTCCTTTTCTTGCTTCCTCTCCTTCCCTTTTGCTCCTCTTGCCTTTGTCCATGGCTTCCATACTTGGCCAAGGGGCCTCCCACCGTGCATAGGACCGTCATGGAACCTGCAGAAGATACCAAAGTTCACGAGAGCATGGGGATGATAAAATAATGCATAAATATTATCAAAATAAGCGCAAATAAGCATTACTTTTCATCAATACATAAAGAAGCCATAAGAGGATAAATGAGGTGGAAAAAACTAAGAAAAATAAGAGGAAAAAGACCTAAATGCTACCCCTAAGAGTGACATAAATGTCACTCATCAGAAGCATCTACACCAAGTAGCATCATCCAACCCTTGTAGATACATAAGGTTGGTGTATGCCATCAGGTGGTCTTCTGGGTTGGAGGTACCATCATAAGTGCCTACCAACACATTCTTCACCTTGGCCGGCTGTGCGGCCTTAGTTATTTCCTTAGAGAAAGCTGAAGGTAGTTCCCCAAGTTTTAGTAGTCGGAGCTGCCAATCCAAAGGGTGGATATTGGGTGCCGCCTACCTGCCGAAGAGGGTAGGCTGCATATAAGGTGGTCCATACGGCATGTATGGTTGTTGAGGCACATACGGGGCCGCTTGGAACATCTGAGGACTAGAATGGGCGGACAGGCCGCGTGTCTGGTCTTCTTGGTTTGATTGAGAATACCTCAGCGAGGCATTCTGAAAACTGTCATTGAAGTTCGACGTAGAGGCCGACTCTGACAGTTGCATATTCTTCTTTTGCAAGATTATCATCCGAGCATCAAAATATGTTTTCTTGGAACCATCCGGCTGTATATGCCGAATGGCCTTCCTCTCCCCTGGCTCAGGGAACCACAGTCTAGCCAGGTTTATCAAAGGCTTCCGTCCCTCCCTTGGTTTAGGGTAAGGAGTGGCCTCTCGGTCTTTGACCGACTTTTTCCTCAAAGAATAAGAGAGTTTCTTGGCCGATTGTTCCTTGGTAGGGACAGCCGTCCGTTTATCAATAAGATCCTTTATCTCCCCTTTGAAACTTGTCATGAGGGTCATGAGCTCGTTTCTAGTGATAGGGGTGGATCCTTCGGCCGTCTGAGGCTGACCTGTCGGCTGGCCGACTGTTTCACTAGGGCCTGCCTGGTCAGTGTTTCGTTCCCTCCTTTTGGTAGGTCGGATGCGGCGTGTCCTAAGGGACCCATCAGGGGTCGTATGGGTGGCGACTTCATAGTCGTCATCCGTATCTTGGTCTGAGAAGACCTGGACGTCGGTCGTAGGCCGTTTCTCATTAAGAGGTGGTACAGGTTCTTGTGAAGTCATCGTTGAAGTACTCTCCCCACAGACGGCGCCAAATATTTCAGGGTTTTTTGAAGTCCTTCGGGAGAGTTACAATTCCAAGACTGACTTCTAGACGCCTGTACCTGCAAAACAACGAAGACTCCGGTGGGTGGGAGCTCCGCCTTCGACGATCAAGTTAGAACGTGTATGAGGAGTAAAGTGCAGAAAATAAAGGGTCTCTCTCGGATTCCAAGAGAGAATATGTTAATGGAATTGAATATTTTCTTGAATAGATGTTCCTCAGAGGGAAACATCTCCCTTTTATAGAGCATTGGAAAACGTGCCCATTACTAGGTTTTTAGTAAACCTAGGGCTGATTGGGCTTTGCCTGGAACTTTGGGTCGTAGGAGGCCACTTGCTCAGTTGGCAATTCTGCCTGCCACGTGTCGAGGCCTGATTGGTCCACGTGGATGACACGTGGCAGGATATCATTGGTCCACGTGGCGGGGAAAAATCCCCTAATCAATATTAATATTAGTAATAAGAATCTTTAATTTAATTTCTATTATAATATATAAACTAAATAGGAGAAATGAAAACTAATAATTCCACCTTTGTCATTTCTGCTCAAAATAATCCCACCTTTTCAAAATCTGGAAACAATCCCACCTTTAACCCCCATATTCTCAAAACAAGCCTTTTACCGGTTTGTGAAATTGGTAACTTATTTTAGTAGGTGACTTGCCACTTGTCACCTTCTAATTGGTTCGATTTTAATTTTTTTCAATTAACAAAACAAATCAATTTTTTTTTTTTTTTGAAAAAGAATCAGCCTCCTTTTGCCTGAATCCGAACCACCTAACATCACCCATCTTGCGAACAACAACCCCCCTCCCCAGCGAATGGAAGCCTCCTCCCTGGCGAACACCAGCCACCCCAACGAACTTTATAATCAATTATCATAACAGATCACTATACTAAAGCATGAAATTCAATATCGAGTTCGATAATCATAAACCAAATTGAACCCAGGATGAAATAATCTTAGTCATACTCATCAAATTCAATTCACTTTTATACAACAATGATCGGATTTCGGGCAAGGGGTAGTCGAATTTAGGGGTTAGGGAGTTTTGGGGTTAAAGGTGGTCAGATTTAGGGGTTAGGGGATTTCAAGGTTGTCGGGGGGAGGTTGGTGTGATAGTGGCCATGGAATAAGGTGGTGTGGTGGTGGACTGGTGGCCATGGAAGGGGGCTGGTGTGGTGGTGGCCATGGAAGGAGCTTGAAGGAGGGAGACTTAAGCTTGAAGAAGAGAGTAAAAAAAAAAAAATATCTGTTTAACAGGTTGTAGATCAAAAGGTTTGTTTTGAGAATATGGGAGTTAAAGGTGAGATTGTTTCCGGATTTTAAAAAGGTGAGGTTGTTTTGAACAGTAAAGGTGAGATTATTAGTTTTTATTTTTCCAACTAAATACCTACAAAGTATAGTTCTATTGTCTTAAATAAGTTGTCAATAAAAAAGATATAAAAAGAAAAATAAAGTTAGCATCTTTCTTTTTTTGGAGATTTTTTTTTTGGAGGGAAAAGGTGGGATTATTATTGATGGTTGGGATTATTTTAAGTGAACCGGTAATAATTGGGATTATTTTTACCAATTTTTTTTGTTTAAAAATTATTAAAAAAAACTTTTAGATTCCAAAATGCGTCATATGAAGCTTGAACATGCAAATCAGAAAGTGATAACTGATGAGGTAGTGGGAAGTTGTAATGGCGGAGAGCCTTGGGAGTTCCGGGGGCTGTTGCCACTCTCCGCCCTCCCCACCGCCGATGATTCCTTTCATCTCCTCTAAACAGCCCCTCACTCCTTCAAACACACACAAATTTCAAACTTGTATTAATGTATGTATGTATGAATGTATATATACGAAGTACTCCGTATTTTTATTATACCAGCGGAAACAGCAGCAGCAGAAACACTTCAACGAACAAATCAAAGCTGAGCTATGATTTTACTCAAATTCGGAGTTTTTTCAAAAAAATTTCTGTTGAGTTTCTCAGACAGATTGATGGGAAGGTAGCGAGATACCGCGAAAATTGCAGAATTCTTGCATTTTGCTTATCTTACTCACCCTAATTTCCTGCTCTGATGATAACCCAGATTTTAATTTTGTTCATACTCCAATTTGACAGTTTTGAGCTCATTTCTTTGATTTTTTCGATTTTGGGAGAATTGAGGAAGAATTTTATGAGTGTGAAATTGCTGGGGTGTTTTGGGGGTCGTTGCCCAGTTTTCCACTCTCTTTCTTTCTCCTTTGATTATATTATAAACATCGAAACGAACCTCCCCCAAATTCCAAACCCTAAACCCTAACCCTAATTTTTGGGGATTTTTGCTGAATCTTGAAAATTGTTGCAGAGGCGATGATGTTGAGTTTTCCTAAATTTTGATTTTCAAATTCAGGCATTGGAGTTTGGAAGGCATTGTTCATACGTTTCGCGACTGTAATCTCTCTTTCATTTTCTCTCTCTATAATCCTCTATATAATTATGTGGCTACTGCTTGTTGTTGTTGTTATTGTTGTTGTTGGGCAATGGCTTTCAATGTCTCTTCATGCCTGAGACTAAAAAAATAAAAAAAAACTGAGCCTCAATAGTTAGATGGTCAATGATGGAAATGACAACATAATTTATTTTGCTGAAAATGGCATCTGAATTGCATAACTAGTATAACCTCGGCGAAAGAATATGAGTTTTTGGATTGAGGAAACCTTTAAATAGGGGGCTCTCCAAATACAATTTTCTCCTTGAGTGTACAATGCTATGCTATGCAATCCCGTGCTATTTGATTCAGATAAATATTGTCATTGTCTGAGCCCAAATTTACGAACTAAATGAAGGTGGTGAGGCAGTGGGTTTTAAGGGCTGAGAGCCTTTGGGAGTTATGGGAGCTGTTGCCTCTCTCCACCCTTCCCTGCCATTGATTCTTTTCAACTTTCTCTTCTGAACAGCTCCCTTTCCACACCAAAAATGTATATAGAAAGCATAAAGAAAGAAAAAAAAATAGTCACTCTTTCACATATGTATGCATTTGTCTGCATCTGCATTATTATTATGTGTGTGGCAGCAGCAGCAATAGCAGGAAATTAAGATGAAGAGAACGTATATGGTTATTTTAAGATGAAGAGAACATAGCCTAAGGTTATGTTCTCTTCACCTTATTTTTGTTGAATCGAAATTATTTTTACTGAATTGAAATTATTTTTACTGAATATTATTTTCTAAGATGAAGAAAGTAAGACCTAAATTGTTAGATGGGTTGTGATGCAAACGACACCAAGTTTCAGTGATTGGTAGCATTGGAATTGTATACTAGTATTTTGTTGGGGAAGAATGTGAACTTTGTTTAGGCGGAGGTAGTATTTATGTGTATTAAGCTATTGGATTGAGGAAACCTTCCATCCAAAGCTCGCCAATTTTACTTTCACCCTAGATTGTGCAATGCTATGCTATGTATGTCCATGCCATTTGTGATAGATCTAATTGTCATTGTCTGAGCCCAAAGTATTGAACTGAAATTGATGGTTTGTTTATTTTCTATATAAGTTGAACAGAATAGGACCTAATAGTTGGATGGTCAATGATGGGAATGACAACAAGTTTCTGCCAAATTTTTTTGCTGAAAATAGCATTGAATTGCATAACTAGTATGACCTGGGCGAAGAATATGAACTTTTGGATGAAGGGAGTGTGTGTATTGAATTTTTGGACTGAGAAAACCTTTATACAAGGGGCTCTCCAGTTTGATTTCTCTCCTTTAGTGTAGCTATGCTATGCAATCCCGTGCTATGTTATTCAGATCAAAATTGTCATTGTCTGAGCCCAAATTTGCGAACTACATGAAGGTGATGAGGCAGTGGGTTTTAATGGCGAAGAGCCTTTGGGAGTTCTGGTAGCTGTTGCCTCTCTCCACTCTTCCCTGCCAGTGATTCTTTTCAACTTTCTCTTCTAAACAGCTCCCTTTCTACACCAAAAATGCATATAGAAAGCATAAAGAAAGAAAAAAAAAAAACTCTTACTCTCTCCCACATATGTATGCATTTATATGCATCCATATTGTGAGCAGTAGCAGTAGCAATAAGAGGAATACTAAGATGAAATAAAAGAAGAGCTATGATGAAACTACTTTGTCAAATTTGGAATTCTTGAAAAAAGTAATGGACTATTCTCAGTCAGATTGATGGGAAGATAAGAGTGGGAAAGTGCAAGCAGAGGTAGCCACGTAATCATGTCCCTTTGCTCCGTGTTTCTTTTGGGCTGATCTCATTCACCCCAATTCAGAAATCTGATCATAACCTATTGATTTAATTTTATACAAACTCCAATTTGAAAGTTTTTGAGCTTAGTTATTTGGTATGTTAATTCTGGGAGAAATGAGGAAGATTTTGTTGGTGGATATTCCTGGGGTATGGGTAGATAGATAGATAGATAGATAGTTAGATATAGATACAAAATGCTGCTGTTGGGAACTTTGCTTTTCATTTCCTCCTTTTGCCTGATACTTAAAATAAAAAGAACCCGAGCCTCTATTTTACATATAAATTGAAAAGCTTTTAAGCCTCTTGTATATGTTCTTCTGATAAGCACAGATACTACACTTGATCTATATACACAATCCCTTTTGGATAAGGTTGATTTTGAGGTGAACAACAATTTTGTTAAAGCCTTAATCCCATTTGGATGGATTTTCAATATGACCCAACGTATACATCTCCTGTGGTTGTCAGCAAAGATCCTCTTCTTCCACTCATCTTTTATAAAGTGCTATTTAAAGTGAAAACTAGCAAATATTATCACTTGCAAGCTTTCAAACATGGCTTTTTTGTATTTGCATGGTGTTGGGCAAAGGTTTTGCTGTTGTTTCATAAAGCTGAAGTTGAGGTTTATGTGGAATACATAAGGCAATGGTTACTTTGTTGTGTTGGATACTTATTTATACCTTGTTTCATCTCATTTTTATGTTCAGTTTCAACTCATTAATTTTTTTAGTTTGCTGAATTTGATGACCTTAAGGACTTGTGTGTTGTAATTTTCACCTTTTTTTGGATCAAATGGCATTTTTCTGTCCAGTGTTTTTGGTTGGTGAAATAATTAATTTCTGGGCATTTATTACATGAACATATTTGATTGTATGCATTTAAACAAATGTTGTGAAGTTTTGTGAAGTTTTCTGTACTTATCTTATCTTTTTAGAATTTGTGAGAACTTGTTTGAACTTTTTGAATAATACTTCGTATAAGTTAATGTAATGTTGTATTGTGTGACCAGAAATGGCCATTGATTGATTTGTGAGGTTCCAAATCTATGTTTGGGTATGCTTTTTTCACTTGAATTTGTTTCATTTGAACTTATTGTAGTTGTGATTGAAAGGGTAGTTGTATCTGAACTTTTTTCTCCAGAAATAAACTCTTTTAAGGTGAATATAACATAGCCTACGTTGGATGGGCAATGATGGAAATGACACAGGTTTCTGAAAGTGGTATTTGGATTGCTTAATGGGTATCGCCTTGGGGAATGCATATGAACTATTGTACGGAGGGAGTATATATGTTTATTGAATTATTGGATTGAGGAGACCTTTAATCAGGGAGCTCTCCAATTTAATTTGCTTCTGTTGCTTTGCTTTGCAATCCCATGCTACTTTAGGTAGACTGAATTTTGCATTGTCTGAGTCCATAGGTGCAAACTTATGTGAATCTTGTCTCACGAGGTTTTTTAATATTTTTTTTTTAATCAATTGAGAACATAGTGGGATGGGCAATGATGGAAATGATGACATCAGCCAATTTCTTTGCTTAAGAGTGGCCTCAGAATTGCATGTTGGTGGTACTTTTGGTAAGCATATCTTATCTTATTTGAACTTATTAGTCATTATCCTATTTTATCTAAATCTATTAGCCTTGTTTTATCATATCATATCTTATCTTAATGGACCTTAATAGACCCCGTTGAAACTTCTTATCTTATTTGAACCTATTAACCTTTCTCAGAACCTTTTTAGCCTATATGTTATCTTTTCTTCACTATTGAACTAATTGATACAATTGAAATTAAGGTGAGGAGAATAGAGCTTTTGTTGGATGGGCAATGATGGAAATAATGACAGGGTTTAACCAAATTCTTTGCTGAAATTGCATTTGAATTGCATACTGGTATTATCCTGGGAAGAATGGACTTTTGGATGGTGGTAATATATACTTTCTTCGTTTTCTTTTAGTTGACACATTTTGAGTTTGTACACGATTCAGATAAGTTACTTTGACTTTATTCTGTGTGATCTATTTTCAAGAAAAAAATAATCTTGGGGCAACTTTTTAGATTTGTCTTGATGTATGTATTCTAAATTTTTTTTTTTTGCTTATACATCACTTTAGATATTACTTATGAAATTATGTGTTGGCAAACATGCTTAAAGGAAATGTATCAGCTATAATGATGAAATAGAGGAAGTATGTGTTTTAAATTATTGGATTGAGGAGGCTTTTAAAATGGGAGCTCGCAAATTTCATATGTTCCCCTTGTTTGTGCAATGCCATAGCTGGAGTGAGGACTAGGTATCTTTACAAAGATCTGCAAAAGACGAAATTCTATTAATGTTGAGAGTTATATTTGAATCTACAACAATTCTGACCAGAACTTGTGTAGCGCCTTGAACCAGCTTGGCCATGAGACTTGTGTCCGAAGTTGTACTTTTTTAATCTCACAGAACATTGTTATGTTGCTATGGAATGGTACTGAGCTTGTGAATAACTTTCTTCATGATGATCATTTATATCTGTGGTATAACTGGTATTAATTCTCCGCTATTTATTCCATAGGTAGAATATCAACTTTTGATGGAGGGAGTTATACATATGTAATTATGTATATCAATATTTTGATGATTAATCTCTAGCTTACTCTAATGATCTTCAGATTTTAGACATGGCCTTTTCTGTTTGCATAGTTTCGTGGTAAGCTTGTCATCGTGTGCTCTCTTGTGAATTTGATCACCATATGCGATGCAGTAGGTAATATATACCTTTTCATTTTGCTGGAAAACTTTTGGTTCAGCTCATTTTACCATTGCTATATTACATGATTATTATTATTATTGATTAGTACTAGTTATTTTCCTTTCCAAAGCTTTTTTTAGAATGAAACTGCATTTGGCTGGTTTGATTCTAAGTTATAGATTAATAGGTGTTATTAGAATAAATTCTGAACATCCCGCCTGTAGTTATACACATTATTAGTTCAGGCAACTGCTAATATGTTCTCACAATGCGTATGTTACTTATTTCTAGATGGAGGGATCATTTGTTTTTGATTGAAGAGATCATTTTTAGTTTTATGATTAACCTGGTAGCTCTTATTGGAACTTGTTTATTTTGAACTTAATTTTAAGATGAAAGTAACTATTCTTTAGTCTTTTTTATCTTTCAACTTAATATAATGGGCAATGATTAGAAGACAAATTTTCACTCAAATTGCTGCAAATTGTACCGTTGACAAGAGTCCGACTCGAACAAAGAGGAATAGACAATTAATCGTCGAACTAGGTTCCCTCTAAGAGTGACAAATTAAGAGAATCACACATCAAACCAATTAATAATTGCAAATCCAAAATCAAGTGGCCATGTCAATTGGATTCACAATGCAATCTTATTTAGTCATCAAGGCTTCATTAAACTAAACACATGCAAACTTTCATTAATCAATTTATTCTCAATAATCAGTTAACCTAAATCCCCAAATTAGAAGCAATCCATAAATCATACATGCTTTCCCACACCCTAGCTAAGAGAATTACTCACTAAGCATGATAAATTGGAAAACTAAAGCTAATCTAATCATCATGATCATCATTATCAATCAATTAAAAAGAGAAATTCAACTAATCAAACAACTAATCAAAATTAACCAAGTAATTAAGATCAAGCAAGAAATTAAACTAAGAAGATTAGAATTAAAGGGAAAAGATCTCACTAATTAACATTGATGAATTGAAATCCAAGCTTGATTAAAGGAAATTTGAAGTACAGGTCAAGTATCCAAGACTTTCTCTCTCTACTTTCTCACTCTAGTGTCTCTCAGTAAATTTGAAAAGTCAAAATTGTACTACTAAAAACGTCACACCCCAAAAATAGCATAGTGAGGCATATATATATATATATATATATATATATATATATATATATATATATAATATATATATATATATATATATATATATATATATATATATATATATATATATATATATATATATATATATATATATATATATATATATATATATATATATATATATATATATATATATATATAACTTGAAATCATGTGCGAACCATGTTGAATAATAGGAACTAGTAACTTATCTGAGCCGTCCATCGCGCTTCATCTGACGGCATGTAGTTCATCTGCTTCATTAAGGGTAATTTCGTAATTTTTGTCAGTGAATGACCTTCGTTCTAATTTTATGTTTCTTTTTTTCTCATTCTCTCTCTTAGTCACACTTTCTCTCTCCTGCGATTTTTTTTCTCTGCTCCTCTCTTATCAAATTCTTGATTTTGTTGTTCGATTTTCATTGCTAGTTATTTCTGGGCTAGTAAGTTGTTTAACTTTTTTTTTTTTTTTTTTTTTCTCTTTTGTTCAATTGCGGTTTGTATTTTTGTGATTTGATTAATTCGAATTTGAAATTAGGGTTTTCGCTATATTTTGTTTGATTAATTTATGTTTTGTCATTTTTCAATCAGATTAATGATTAAGTGTTTTTGTGTTTGTTTTATTATGATTCGAATTTTCTTATTAATTTGTTTGATTGAGGTTTATTGTTTTATCTACTTGAATGAGAGTTTTGTTTTTAAATTGTTTGATTTCTATAAATTATTGTACTGTTTGGTTCTCTAAATTAGAGTATTGTTGTTGATTTGATAGTTTGCGTAATTAATCCAATTTGTGGTTGAAAATCCATAGAACCCTTTGATTAAAAATTTCCCTCACATTGCAATTCAAGTTTCTAAGTTGATATGCAATGAACAGTGTTTTCAAGCTCTTTTGTTTCTTGTTGTAGATACGACTTTGTTTGCTGATTTTTGAGGAGGAAATGTTGATAAATTTTGTATCATCCCTTTGTATAAGCTTGACTGTTTGTTGGATTTTAGGTAAAATCAAACATTTGGCAATTCGAAGTAATAATTAGTAGGATTTTTGCTAATGAGTGTACATATAGTATATAGTAAATTTGATTATTTGATTAGTCCCATTTTCACTTGAACTAAATACTGAATTTCACTTAGGTGAGGTAGCTGAAGCCTGAACAAAAGCCAAAGGTTGAGATGATATTTAACATTTACAGGCTATAGTGTTAAATGCTTTGCCATACTCTCCCAAAAAAGTACTATGAACTGTTGGATATCACCATATGGCCCTGTGAATCCTTGTTTGGAGCTCTCCTTTTTTCCTCTGTCAGAAATTCACTTAAAATGTATGATGCAGACATGAAGTGTGTGCTATGTTACTAGATTGTTTAATTGTTTTCTGAACTAGCTAACTATTTAGAATTTGCTTGTATCTCCTGAAACTAGTGGTTTCTGACTACTTATTTTGGTTATGATGATTGGTTGTTTCTCTGGATCATGTTTGTTGCAAAGTTACAACTCTTTTCATTGCGATATAAAATAGATTAGTGCATGCAATTTAAAATGATATGGTTGAATGAGATATAATGAGGCAGACTCCATATTTCTATAGCAGCAATGCATTCAAAGAGGGAGTGTAGAATTGTCTTGGGCGAGGCTTCACATACCTGGCAGCTTGTTTCACTCACCACATGTCGATAATGTGGCCTTTCTTTTACCGTTAAGAAGCCTTTGCACGTTTTTCATACAAAGTGTCTTAGCTTCGGAGGTGCACCCATAGCCCAAATCCTTCGCAAATAACCCTGCATTTTGCACCACTGCTTGATCAAAGTTTGTGGCATTGTATTTTGAGCTATGATGCCACACTCAAAAATTATATTTTGAGCTGAAATAATTAGGGTGGATTTTGAGTGGCTAATATTTTGAGCTATAAAACTTATGTATTAAACCTTTGAGCAGCTTAGTACATATACTTTATAGATTATTTTATTAAGTAATTTTTCTCTACTACAAATGTAGCTCAATTGTTTATGTTGCTTTGCTTTACATGACTCATTTTCTCTGTACAATAATTGGTATTTGGTACTACTTAAATAGACTGATAGCACTAACTGTTTAGGGTAAAAATACTCTAGACACGTGGCCCAATGGGCTGGTGACACGTGGCGTATCGCCATTGGTCAATAGGGCTCCAATCCCCTGTTGACACGTGTCCTTGGAATCCTTCATGGGGGACTTGTCTGTCCCACTATAAATAGTGGGACAAACCTCATTAATGGGGCATTCATATATACAAACACAATTACCGAGCAATATTAATTGCGGAATTCTCCCAATCAGCGAGAAGTACTTTACCTTTTCCGTACTTTTTCCTCCTGTACGTATACTAACTTGATCGTCGGAGGCGGAGCTCCTATCCATCGGAGTCTTCGTGATCTTGCAGGTACAGGCATCGGCAGCTCAGTCTCAGATTTGTAACTCTCCCGCAGGATACCTCAGAAAACCCCGAAACAATTGGCGTCGTTTGTGGGGAGAGTACTTCCAAGATGACTTCTGATACTGTACCACCGAATCCGGACAAACGGCCCTTGGCCGAGCCTGAGGTCCAGACGGACCATGAAAGTGGTGACGACTATGAAGTCGACACCTATGTGGCCCCAGACGGGTCCTTCAGAATAAAACGCACCCGTTCCAAAGAAATGAAGGAACGAGGTGAGAACCAAGCTACTCCAAGCAACACAACCAGTAAGTCGGTTGGGGATGCCCAGGCAGCAGCGTGATCTGCTCCCGTCATGAGAAACGAACTCATGACCTTTATGAATGGTTTCAAGGGCGAGATAAAAAATCTCATCCGGTCAGCCACCCCCAGAAGGGTCAGCCGGCCAAGAAACCTTCCTCCTCTGGGAAGAAGGCTCTGAAGGATTTTGTGCCCACTCCTCATCCAAAACCCAAGGTGGGGGAGGGGCCCAAGATCGACTTAAATAGGCTCCGCTTCTCTCAAGTTGAGCAAAGAAAAGCCATCCGACACCTACAGAACGGATGGATCCAAGAAAACTTTCTCTGATGCCCGGACATTTCACCAGGAGAAGAGAAATCAGCAGCTGTCTGCGTCAGCCTCAACGTCGACCTTCCCTGACAGCTTCCGCAGTGCCTCCGTTACACTCGGAAACAGACCAAGGGGGTCAGTCTCACTAACCCTCTGCGCGATCTGGTCCCAAAGTGATCCAGCCGGGACAATATGGTCCGCCATATGTACCGGGTGGATCCCCTTTTTCTACACCAGGCCTCTTCGGGGGTCATGGGCAGCAGCCGTTCCAACCCACGGATTGGCAGCTGCGTCTGCTTAATTTAGGAGAACAGCCTACGGCGTTCTCGCCAGACATAACTCAGGCGGCACAGCCGCCCAAGGTCAAGAATGTGTTGGTAGGTGCCTATGATGGTACCTCCAACCCGGAAGACCACCTAATTGCATACTCCAACCTCATGTATCTACAGGGATTGGATGACGCCGCCTGGTGTCGATGCTTCCCGGCGACCCTGAAGGGCATTGCCCAACGGTGGTTTGGTAACCTACCAGCCTGCATAAACAACTTCAGAACTTTGGCGTACTTGTTTACGTCAAACTTCTCAATGAACATCCTTGCCAAAAAGACCAGCCTTGATCTTGGGGCAATACAGCAGGGTGACAAGGAAGGACTCCGGTCCTATGTCAGGCGGTTCAATCTGATGAGAATTCAGATTCAAGGGCTTTCTGACGAAGTTGCTTACACAGA